TTAATTTGTGCTTAATAAGACATGTAGACCACGTGATACATCTCACAGAGTTAACACGGTGACTTAGAGGGCAAAGACAACTGTTCTGTCGTCACATGATTTTTAAAAATATATCAAGTTTTGCTTTAACATCTCAAATTATATAACCAATTTTAAATGTCCTGCTTCCAGCATTTCTCATTGTCTTCTAAACGTTATCTGCGTTGGTATTCCGGCGCATGCGCTGTCGTAAATGTAGCGCTCCCGTTTGATCTCCGGCGCTGCAGCTCCAACACCTTCAGCTCAGTCAGACCAGTGAGACGCCCGGAGACGATGCACCGAGCAGAGAGCTTATAGTGGATTCTAGCGGTGGATCTTTGACATTTAATGGTAAGTTTTGAGTCATTTTACGATGTTCAAAATATAGTGATACTGTGTTGTATTTTACAACATAAATGAGCCTTGTTGAAATACGGAGAATTATACGAAGATGTGAAGCTAATTTCAGCTAACACGTAGCTAACTGAAATCAGCTACATGCAGTGACAGCTAACTAGCCTTCAGCCTGTTCAAGCTTCATTGCCAAGTAGCACAGTCAAGTAGACTGACTCGGTCAAATTAAAGCCGAATTACTGGAGGAAATACATTTGTGCTTATACTGAAAAGACGAAAGGACGTTATATTGCATAAAAAATAACTTCCATTAGCGAAACTAAAATATTGTAAAGACTTATAAAAGACCAATGTCTTTAATTTTATCTATGGGAGTTATCTGTTGTTTTTATGTGCATATCTTTTATTTCTGTTTTTATCAACTGGTTTTCCCTGGCACGCGTGAAAGAGGTTCATGCACGAGCACAACATGGACAGTCTAAATGTTGTGTCTGTATTTAACAAGACTCACGATAAGACACAAAGCCAGTAAAGTAGCTATCATGCAAGAATGCCTCTTTGATGTGTCCTCCTATTGGCTACTCAATGTATAGTGATGCTTGACCAACTTTGGCTCATGTGCTTACAGGAGGATGTCCTAAGTACCCTGCTCACAGGTGGCTGCTCTCAAAGCACAGGTGAGAAATGTATACCTTTTTGTGGGTAAATATTATCTTAAAGCTTCTTAATTTTAAATGGACCTAGTATGTTCATAACAGCATAGCATAATATATCTGTCGGAGATGTAAAAGAAAAAAACATGTGGAGTCAGTTTCAGTGGACACAATGCTGTCAATAGTGGTTAACACACTGCATTTAGTTGTATTCTCGTAACAATAAACAGTTACATAGTTGTATGATATTTAAAGTAAATGGGGTCCGCATTCGGGGCATTTTCTGTAACTAGTCTTTTGATTGTTATCACTAATACTTAAACTATCTGTCCTCAGGAAACAAATTGATTAAAGATTAAACTGCATACATTCATGTTTATTTTCTGCAATTTGTTTGCAGCCACTCATGTGACAGAAAGCTTTGCCCCTGAACAGAAGAAAGAGGTCAGATAACCCATCATCTTTAAACTCTTAAATGGATTAGTCCAGCAGGTTTCCAAGCTTGCTCTGATGACTTAGTTTTAACATCTTGATGTAGCATCAATAAAGTATTTTACCATTTTACCTTGGAACAAGCCTTTCACAGATGCACAAGTCTGAATTTTCTGGATGCAAAGTCATCAATGAGGTCATCATAAGACAGCTGCTGTGCCACTTCTGAGTTGATGCTCATGATAGCCAGGCCACTCAAGCGTTCTTGTGCCATTGATGAGCGGAGGTATGTTTTGATGAGCTTCAGTTTTGAAAAGCTTCGCTCAGCAGAGGCAACTGTAACAGGGAGAGTTACTGCAATGCAGAGGGCAATCCATAGATTTAGATACAGTTCTTGCAAATGATTTTCATGGAGAAATGACAACATCTCCAGAGCAGTTGTTTGTGTTGGCAGTTCTGAGAGGTTCATGATTTCCTGGGCCATCTCTGCACCATCAATATCAGACTCTCCCTCTACAGTCCACCTTGGTGCAGTGTTTCTGCAAGGTGTCTTTGGGCATCCCTTGAAGCTGTCTGAAATCAAGCAGCACACCAAAATTCTCCTTCACCTCAGTAAAGGTCTCAAATCTGTCTTGCAGTGATCTGAGAGCAGAGTCAACACCAGTGTTTAAGAATGAGCCTCAGTAGCCAGAGGGAAAAAGGACACCTCAAATCAACATCAGGAGGAAGAGAAAAGCTCAGAAGGTAAGCGCAGCATATGCAGTTGGAGTTTTTAGACCCCACCTGTAGCACATTGCTGTCTGGCCATATGCCTGATTTCTTTGCTTATGAATGTTTTCCAGAAGAGTTATCGGTGACAAAAGACAGAGTACCTCAAAGCGGCAGTTCGGACGAAAAAGAGCCTCTAGAGGTAACAACACAGAGACTCTGACATTATTATTGCAGACTACACAACAATATGTTATTTTTTGCAGGATGTGATTAGTTAGAATAAATGTGCAGCCATATTGTGACACTTGACCCAACATGAATAAGGTAACTTTGAAGGTTTCTGTGTTTTATTGTTATTCCATAACATGTTCGTTCAACAAAGGTTAAAAATGTAAATACTCAGGTAATAGAATAATTCAAAAACAATAAATTAAGACTACCGTAAAGTCTGTATAGTGGTTGCACCAGTGTATTAAAGGCAGCCAACCTTTTAGATTAAAGAATAAGGATAAAGGTGCATCTAATTCACAGTATTTTTTAGTAAGGCAAAGCTGTAAAATGTGAGTAAAAACTTGATTCAGATATAAATTGTACCTCTGGACAAAATCAACCTGCTACAACAAATATGTGTGAGGGGATCACACCTAGCAAAGTGGCTTTAATTGCAAATGTTCAATATTGACTGTACTAACATTAAAAAGGTGGCAGGATTAGGAAAGTGTAGGTTACTAGCATTCAGTGTGGCATAACAAAACTATCCTGCGGTCTACAGGATGTTTTGAAGTGTCCCAAAAAGCTTCTGAGAAGAGGCTGTAGTTCATTATTTTGGATCTGGCTGCACAAACTCCGCACTAAGGGGGGTGGTTCATTTGCATCCAAAGTAGGGCTGCATGATAGATCCTTTCAGCATCGTCATCGTGATGAGCGCATGCGCAATAGTCACATCGCAAGGACATGCGATGTGAAGAAGAAAAAAAAATCCCTCTGGAGCCGAAAAATATATTTGAGCCCTTCAATTAAGTTTATGTAGCCTGTCTACACCCAACCACATTACTAATAGATCTAAATGAGCATCCATTTATATATTTTACCACATTACATGCAACAACTCATATAGTTAGAACACCTTCTCAGCGCTCTGTCATCTCACCTGCTGTTATCAGGGTCGGGCAGAGTGACTTGCAGCATGAGTTGTCGAGCGACTGAGAGAGAGAGGGAGCGGTGAGGAGCAGGGATTTACACAATCTGACTATTTGCTTATAATTAATATCACATATGGGGCTATATTAAACACTTAAAAAATAGCCCCATAACACTCAGGGTTAAAGGCAGCGACTTCCAGATCGCAGTCAGTCGCTGTTTGCTGCCACTGTACTCAGTGCTCCTATTACCACAGCAAGTGCTGTCAGCAGCGGTGTTACGCTCTACTCCAATCTAATCAATCAAGTGTTTTTGTACAGACCTAGCTGCAAACAAGGCTGAACCGAAAAGATTGACCTGGACAGGAAGTCGGTCAAGGAAACGCACAGAGCATCCTTTTAAATTTCAAAATGGAACACAACATACAGAATCCAGATCGTATTTTCTACTACACTATATTGTGCCACCATCTGTAATTCATGATTTGATGCCCTTTTATGTTCATTGCCTATTGAGTATTTTTCGGAGGAGCTTCAGTGACTCTGGACAAGAAGGGCACCCCACAGCAGCTGGACAACAAGCAAAGCCTAGAAAGTAAGAAATAAACTGTCTTTTGATTTTACCCAAAATATAATCTTGTCAAAAGCTTTATTTAGTTGGATAAAGCTACAGTTTGCAAACTGAAAGCTGCTTAAAACAATCACATTTATTTTCCCCGACCGTTCTGTTCAGTACACGTTCAGTTCGTTCACTAAACGAGAATTCCGCTCTTCCTCTCAGTTCGTTCAGTGAACGAATTGAACGAGAGCTCCGCCTCCGAGTCACTCTCTTCCTCTCAGTTCGTTCAGCGAATGAACCACTGACTGAACGTGAACGAGTGAGACTGCGAGTCACCAGCCTCAGTCACACACACACACACACGCGCACACACACACACGCGCACGCACGCACACACACACGCACACCCCCACCCTGTTTGCTTGATAATGTTTGTTTGCTTAGATTAGTTTATAATAGTTATTTGTTTGATTAAGTTCATTGATTTTGGATTGATAGTGCTTTGTTTAAATAAATTCTGTTGTAATTTAAGAGAGCAATTGTTTGTGATTACTGGTGTATTTGCATTGTGATATAAGCTGGGTGTGAGGGCTTTGAGTGCGGATTTCATGCCTCCAATTTATTGAATACAGTAATTATTAATAATATTAGTAATTAAGTAACTAGTTTCAGACTGATTTTAGTGATAATTTGGTTATTTTTCCCTGGTATCAGGGTGGTGCCCCCGAGTCAATTAAACATAGTTTAATAACATTGTTATTTATATTTATAAATAATTGAATATACATTTTAATAATATAACCAAATTTGACTAGATAAAACCACAACATATCCATCAGGAAACCTTACAAAATACTATAAAATGTTCAGACAATTAAAGTGTACTTATAACACATTTGAACGTTTGACTAATTAAAGACATACTTCATATGTTTTCCTGATAAGTACATTTCATTTAAAGTTAAACACCTTTCTCTATCTGTACATAGAGTGTTGCATGTTTGTACTTCGGTGTGAAGACATATTTAAAATAGCGCTTTTGAAACATTTTAAACAACTCAATGTTTGTGTCTTGACTTACTTTACTTGCAGCATGTTTGACATCACATACAGGAACAGGATAAGTGACATCAAACGCCCCTCCTCTTTGCCCTATGGTTCTCTTTTCTGCTGCTCTCTTCAAAATTACGGACACTTCAAAGCCACAGTCATACGCACAACGATGAACCAAGCGCTGATAAAAGCTTTCCTTCTCTGCAGCCTCAGTAAGTGTTTCATCATTTGTGACTTCATTGATATGTTTAATATTGTTTGATTCATCTGCATTAAATGCATCTTATCCACTTATCTCATATTTGTTAACTCATGTGAAGAGAAGTGTTTTACCTTCAGGTTCTGACTCTTAATATCTCGGTCACTCATCTGTTTGTTCCAGGTTGGATCTCTGTCTCAGGTTCTGAGTCTCAGACTGTGGAGGTCCAGTCTGGTGAAGATGTCACACTGATGTGCTCTGGCATGGACGAAAATTTAAAAGTCAGATATTGGCTGAAAGTTGTCAAAGGAGCCGACATCCAGTGTGTCTCTGCTATGACCAATCCTACCAGCACAGTGCGCTATCATGATGGATTCAGTAATCATACATTCACTATGTCGTCCAACACCTCTACCATCTTTCTCAAAGTCCGTTCAGTGGACTTAAACAAGTCTGGAATTTATTACTGTGGATTTAACAAAGATGGACATCCATTTCTTACTACGATACATCTAAAGATCAAAGGTAAGATATTTTTAAGTTTTTTCCTTCTCTTGGATCCCATCATCACATTATTTTTTTCAGCTTATGTTGAAAAGAAAAAAAATCTTAAAATATCTTCTATTATCAAATTGTCTTTTATATTTTGATGTAAATCAGTTAAGATTAAATCCTTCTCTTATAGGCAGCAATGACGTTCATAACAGCATGAACAGCAACTCTACAAGTAATATTCTCCAAAAGTTTTCTTTATTCAACAGACTTCTGACATTTTAAATCCTTCATGTTAAAAAGCTAGCTGGATTTGAAGTCTCCAAAAGGAAAACAGAGTCTGAAGAAATGATCTGTCTCTGTAGAAGAGTCTAATGGAACAGCAACTAAAGACCTAAGCTTCTTTAAATATGTTTAATAGGAAGCAACGAGGCAGATGAAGACATGGACAGAACGGACAGTAACCTTTCAAGTACGATTATTATTATCATTTCTATAATGCACAGACTTCTTATATCTTTAAAAGCTTAATGAATTTGGTTTGATCTTGTCAGGTTTTAAGTCTCCAAAAAAAAAAAAGTATTCTGACACAATGATCTTTCTTGTTGAAGAGTGTGATGGAGCAGCGACTCTGGTGAGCATGATCCTGGGTGGTTTGACTCTTTTGCTTGTCATGGTTGTCATCGGTCTGGGTGCTAAAATTAGGAAACTTCAGACAGGTATGTTTTATAATGTACTTTTTATTGCATTTGTAAATTATTTTGAATTTCTGTCCATTCATGGTCTTCAAGTTTACCAAAGACAACGTTCAATGAACCCTAACCTCTAACCAAGATGTTTTATTTTGTCACTCAGCTGCTGAAGAAAGACAGAATCCAGGACACACTGAGGTAAATACAACTCAATTTACTTCAACACAGTTTGTGATTGAAGAATAATGACATGATATTCATTGGTGTTAATTTAATGTGTTCCTGAAATATTTGTGTATTGATAGACTTACATACTTCCTGTCCATATACATTAAAGGCACAATATGTAACTTCTGCCACCAAGGGGCTCTTGTGCACAACCAATTACAAAAGATTGCGCTGAGGCTGGCAGGGAATCATGGGAGTGATTGTCCCTGTTACTCCCAACAACCCTATCCCCGATAAAAACTAATTCTGAGTTTATTGTAGTGAAAATGAACGGGCGAAACTGGCCTGAGGAAAAGAATATGATTAGCGACAAATATAATTTACATTAGGATTCTATCACAGCAGGACATACAGCAACAATCGGCAGCTTTTAGTAGCAATTCACGCAGCGGGCTTTGACATAACATCCGGTGTTTCCACGGAAACAATAAACATGTGTCTGCCATGGCATCTCAAGACACATCCCATTTCAGCTATAAAACTAAGGATTTCTCTGGGTCTAATAAGCACAAGACATTCAAAATCCCCTTCATCCATATCAGCTTTTTCCATAACATAGCTTCCAAGCAATATGGCGGACGTTAAGTTTCGATTCTGAGAGTGAGTTCCCACCCACTGATCTGTGATAAGTCTGTAGCTTCAGTGGTCGAAAATATGAGGAACTAGCGTTGTAGTTTCACCCCACTAACCGCAACAGCTTCCAATGACACAAAATAATGATTTTTGCGTCATCGGAAGCTCCTTTTCAGACTTAGCAATACAAAGATTTCCCACCTCAGGGGAAAATGAGTGCGGGATGCACAACCATTCAAAAATACTACCAGGTTTCTAAAGATACAAAGCTTAAAGCAAATGGCTGAAGTATCACTTATAAGATCCAGAATATGTTGCTCTTTTCTGGGAATAAAACTCATTTCAAGTGATCACATTATGACTATAAATACTCTCTTTCACAGATTGAGGCCTCTGATGAACTGAACTACGCAGCAGTGACATTTCGATCTAAAGCCAAAAGAAGAGAGCCGGAGCCAAATGTCTTGTATGGTGCTACCAGATAGAGTAAGGAGGTGGCTGGACATGATCTTGTATCATATAGTATTACAATGCTTTGTACTTTTGCATGGCTTGTTGGTGAGAGTTAACCAATCTGTGCTTTCAAATAAAGAACTGATTGATGATCTGCAAAGAGTTAATTCTCCATTTCCATTCTTTCAGTCAAAGTCTGTTTAGCCAATAAAAGTGTGTTTGGTGGTTTTTGAAGGAGGGGCCATTAACGATATATTTGACAGTCAGTGTATTTTATATCCAGAGTTAGATATAGATGTGTCAAGCAGTCAAGGTGTGAGTACACAACACTTCTTTGACAGGAAATATCAGCACACTGTGGTCTAAGCCAAACCGAGAGGCCATGGTAGATCAAAGGCCTCCACCAATACACAACCAGTGCAGTTCAGGGTTTTAAGAACTCAGCTTCTTGAGTGCAAAAATGCCCTCAGAAGAGACACCTACAACAGAACAGCTGGGCAGAGATCGGACAGGAACCAAATGTCAGTTACATGACAGCAAGGTCCGTCAACTCTACATTTTTTAAAGGGATACTTCCCCCGTTGAAACATGAATCTGTATTGACATTGGGTCATATATGTAGTAGAAATGTGAAATACATTTTGAAGTTGGTGCCTTCTTGGCCGAGAAAAGGCAAAAAGTGTCTTTTTGGCTCATGTGG